TTGGGCATCTAACTCATTAGGTTTCTTTGAAAATCCCAGCTAGAACATTTCTTCAAAAAAAGCTTGATTTACAGCAATTGAAAAAACTAATAGGCATGAGCTTCACTGTACCAGATTCCCAATATGCTATATCCCAGATGAGACAGGCCATTTTCTAGCTTTGCAAGGGCAGCTCAGGTTTCCTCTCTGCTAGACACTGGGTCCCTGAGACACAAGGAGAATGCAGTGACTGCGGAGTATTGAATCCAACGCCCAACAGATATTTGGGGATAGGCTTTGTTGGACTGTATCTTACACTTGGATCTGTTGGTTGTGGGAACATGTGAGCATCTGACACTCAACGTCCTGCATGAATGTAGAATTTACTTTTCTGTGCCTGCACCCTACTGGCAACTCCTTCAATTGTTAATTTCCTTAGTTACCATTATAGCCTTTTATTTTACAAAAGAAGTGTTCTGTGGCAGCTATTTAGGCACTACCAAAATTAAATTTGTAGCATGTTCTTCCCCAATATACTTGCAAGTACATAAATGACTAGGCAAGCGTATATGGAAACTTCATATATGAAATATATGAAACCTGCATTTGTTTAATGTCCAAACTTAACACAGGACCCTTAATGAATAGACCATACTATTACTTACCTAGAATCATCCATATTCATAGATTCATGGATTCTAGGGTCAGAAGGGACCTCAGTGGGTCATCTAGTCCGATCCCCTGCCCCTGGCAGGCAAGAAAAGGGTCACCAAACCCGGGGTCATGTGAGTCCAGCCAGGTGCCTGTCCAGTCTCCTTTTGAAGACCCCCAAAGATGGGGGATCACCACCTCCCTTGGGAGCCCATTCCAGATTCTGGTAACCCTGACCATGAAGAACTTTTTTCTAATGTCCAGTCTAAACCTTCTCTCCAGTAGCTTATGGCCATTGTTCCTTGTTGTTCCAGGGGGTGCCCTGGTAAACAGATTGTCGTGTACTTCATGTTGCTCTCCCCTTATGAATTTGTATGCTGCCACAAGGTCCCTTCTCAGCCTTCTCTTGGAGAGGCTGAAGAGGTTACGGTCCCTTAGCCTTTCCTCATAGGGTCTTCCCTGCAGGCCTCTAATCAGACGAGTGGCTCTTCTTTGGACCCTCTCCAGGTTGTCCACATCCTGCTTGAACTGTGGCGTCCAGAACTGGTCACAGTACTCCCGTTGCGGTCTGACCAGTCCCGCGTAGAGAGGCAGAATCACCTCCCTGGACCTGTTTGTGAAGCACCTACGGATGCATGACAAGGTGCGATTGGCTCTGCTGACTACTTCATCACATAGGCGACTCATGTTCATCATGGAGCCAACAGTGACTCCAAGATCTCTTTCTGCCTCAGTGGTGCTGAGGTCGCCCCCCAGCCTATAGGTATGGTGGCAGTCCTTTCTCCCTAGATGTAGCACCTTGCACTTATCCTTATTGAATTGCATCCTGTTGCTCTCTGCCCACTTCCCCAGCCTGCCTAGGTCAATCTGGATCTGGTTCCTCCTCTCCAGGGTGTTAGCTTCACCCCATACTTTTGTGTCATCTATGAATTTGGACAGGGTGCTTCCCACCCCCCCATCCAGATCACTGATGAAGATGTTGAACAGCACCGGCCCCAGAACTGAGCCCTGAGGGACTCCCCTGCCCACATCTTTCCAGGTTGACACCGACCCTTCCACTACCACCCTCGAGTGCAACCCTTGAGCCAATTTGCTACCCAGTCTACCGTGTAATCATCCGAGGCAAATCCCCTCAGTTTATTTATAAGGATGGTATGGGATACCTTGTCAAAGGCCTTCTTGAAGTCCAAACAGACAACATCCACCTCGACTCCTGCATCTAAACATTTGGTGGCCTTGCTATAAAACAAAACTAGGTTAGTCAGGAAAAGGAGTGGGAGTTTTGGATATTGGGTTCTGCTCCAACACAAGTAGTAAAGACATGACTTGATTAAGTCTTGTCAGGCCATTGTGGCACAGAGAAGATATGGTAAGGGGGGGCAGGCAGCTAATATCCTGATAACTCTGAATTCTGTAGTGGCTTAATGTAGCCAGGTGTGAAAAGTATGTTGAGATCCTCAAACAAGAACGAGCTACATAGGAACATGTAGCATCTCTTGGGTCCTGTCAAGGTTATGTCAAAATTAACTGATGCACTTTGTTGGAGATCACATGACCATCATGACAATGATAATGCTGTTGTGAAAGTTTTAAAATCATGTGCCATGCACACTTTGGTTTGGTTTTGTTCCGTTCTTAAGCAAGAGGCTTGGCAAGAGAGAAGGTATCCTGTGCCACCATCTGACAGCTGAGAGTATTTCCCTTGGATAAACTGTTCTTTACTAATCTGCCATAAAACATAGGTGGGCCTACTGGGTGCTAGACCTAGTGTTTAGAAACTGGCTCATAAATTAGATGACTGATGAAATTATAAAGGTGGAGGCAGTAATACTGCTAATGTTGAGTTCCCCGAGCCAAACTGACTTCAATGGAGAGAACTTGGGTGTTCGTGAAGCTCATAGGGGAACAGATGGAAAAAGGGCATTTCTTACCATTTCAGCACAGCCCCACCCAGCAGTTTATTAAATATTCTAAATCCACAAGTCCGAATTACAATGGCATTGTTACCTGAATACATTTCTCTAAGAGAACTTTCTGTCATGATTGGATCTGGACATGCTTGGATACTAGGAAGGAGGCTATATATATATATATGTTGGGGGACAACCAGAACTTGGGCAGTGAGGAATCAGACAAGGTGCAGACTAGTTTTGGGTCAGGGGGATCAGGTCTAGGCAGGTCAGAAGGCCAAGGCCTGTAAAGGACCAAGATAATTTGCAGTCTCTGAGGTACAGCTGCAAGCCAGCAGGGTTAGTAGCAAGAAGCAGATCAGAGTCACTGGCTAGGGCATCTGGAGCAGGCAGCTCTAGCTGTAAGGACATGGGCAATTGCCAATCTAAAGCTATGACCCAGGCTTTTGGATTGGAGTTAGGAACAGGAGGGTGGGGGCTCAAGAACGGGCAAGCCTGGAACAAGGAGTCAAGCAGGCATGAACCATGAAGCTAGGAATCAACAAGCAGGAACCAGGGAACTGAGAACAAGGAGTTAGAAGTCCAAGGCTAGACAGAAACGTCGATCCTGTTGAGTAGCCTCCTAAGCACTGAAAAAGCTGCTGCTTATAAGCAGGCAGCCATGCCCATGCAAAGGTCCAGCTGAGTAGTTAGGCAGCTGGCAGGCAGTAACAGTCAGATAACCAGGTAATTGCTGGACACAGTTGCGTTTGCATGTGGCCTTAGATCCTGACAGATATCTGCAGTGCCTTATCTGCCTGAGCTGAGCCCCCATTTAACATAAAAAAACAACTTGCTGTCTTCAGGGAATTGAGCTCCACTTCCTCTCACCTGGACATGTTGCCCTCAACGTTGGCAAAAGGCTTATTCTTGATCCCCAATGTTGATGAGGTAGATGTTCACAAGCCTTATGCAGCTGCCTTGCTGGGTGCTTCTGCTTTCACTCCCCCCCTACTCAGGATGCTAAGTTTTGCCAAATGCTATCCAAACTCTAGTCTAGTCCGGAGGGTTATTGACAGCATGAGATCAGAACAGTTGCAGCTGCATTTTCCAGCAGCCCTCAGTCCCCAACCATTTGGAATGAGCTATGCAGATAGCAAGGAAACTGCATTACCTCTACTTGTGTCTTCTACTGAAGTGTGACAGCACTGAATAATGCTGATTTTGTTACACTTACAGGATCCTGTAAGTATGGAGGGTATAAAAAGGAACATTGTATTTACTTGAACTGTGCATCAGAATTATGGTCTGGATGGGAATTTCCACAGATACTGTCCCAATGTCACCAGGTGAAATTTTCACTTCTTCACTGGGTTTCTCTTTGTCTTCAGATTTTTTAAAAATATATAACTATTGTTATATGTATTGTAGGTGTGAAATGTCAAATGTTCTCAGCGTTTACTTCACTAAAACACTATTGAAATCAAAGGTAAGCTTTGTTATTAAACTTCAGCAG